ATTGATGCTGCACGCGACCCCCAGGTTAGTATGACTGATGCTGCACGTGACCCCCAGGTTAGTATGATTGATGATTTAGCCACAATTACTAAATTATATACATGTATCTATTTATATCAATACCGAAGACACATTTCTATAATCGCCTTTATTGTTCCGCAAGAGTTTATATTTACAACAATATGTTGCAGTTATTAAAAAAAAAAAAAAGATTAAAGTCTGTCATTTATTTAAAATAATCCAAAAATGGAAAAATGGGTCGGGGCGGGGGTGGGATGAGGGTGCAAATTTAATTCTACATTCGAGAAGATATTCTCTATGCTTATTTAGTTCTACATTGGAGAAGATAGTCTTTATGCTTATTTAATTCTACATTCGAGAAGATATTCTTTATGCTTATTTAGTTCTACATTAGAGAAGATATTCTTTATGCTTATTTAATTCTACATTCGAGAAGATATTCTTTATGCTTATTTAGTTCTACATTAGAGAAGATATTCTTTATGCTTATTTAGTTCTACATTCGAGAAGATATTCTTTATGCTTATTTAATTTTACATTCGAGAAGATATTCTTTATGCTTATTTAGTTCTACATTCGAGAAGATATTCTTTATGCTTATTTAGTTTTACATTGGAGAAGATATTCTTTATGCTTATTTAGTTCTACATTAGAGAAGATATTCTTTATGCTTATTTAGTTCTACATTCGAGAAGATATTCTTTATGCTTATTTAATTCTACATTCGAGAAGATATTCTTTATGCTTATTTAGTTCTACATTCGAGAAGATATTCTTTATGCTTATTTAGTTCTACATTGGAGAAGATATTCTTTATGCTTATTTAATTCTACATTCGAGAAGATATTCTTTATGCTTATTTAATTCTACATTGGAGAAGATATTCTTTATGCTTATTTAATTCTACATTGGAGAAGATATTCTTTATGCTTATTTAATTCTACATTGGAGAAGATATTCTTTATGCTTATTTAATTCTACATTGGAGAAGATATTCTTCATGCTTATTTAATTCTACATTCGAGAAGATATTCTTTATGCTTATTTAGTTCTACATTAGAGAAGATATTCTTTATGCTTATTTAATTCTACATTCGAGAAGATATTCTTTATGCTTATTTAATTCTACATTGGAGAAGATATTCTTTATGCTTATTTAGTTCTACATTGGAGAAGATATTCTTTATGCTTATTTAATTCTACATTCGAGAAGATATTCTTTATGCTTATTTAATTCTACATTGGAGAAGATATTCTTTATGCTTATTTAATTCTACATTGGAGAAGAAATTCTTTATGCTTATTTAGTTCTACATTGGAGAAGATATTCTTTATGCTTATTTAGTTCTACATTGGAGAAGATATTCTTTATGCTTATTTAGTTCTACATTGGAGAAGATATTCTTTATGCTTATTTAATTCTACATTGGAGAAGATATTCTTTATGCTTATTTAGTTCTACATTGGAGAAGATATTCTTTATGCTTATTTAATTCTACATTCGAGAAGATATTCTTTATGCTTATTTAGTTCTACATTCGAGAAGATATTCTGAATGCTTATTTAGTTCTACATTGGAGAAGATTTCTTTAGGGAACACAGACCATCTCCTTTGGCTTCTCCCAGCAATGTCCGTCTTCTTTTCTTGTGAGCGCCCTGGTTGTCTCAGTCCATTTGTTTCCCTGTTTGGTGAGTCTGTGTTCTGCTTCTCCCCGTGACGTGTTCAGTGTAATCCAATCTTCTGTGTCTCGCGACTTTTGATACAAGTGATTTTCCAATCGTTTCTCTGATCTTTTCGCTATTCTTGGATCCACCCCATTTAATGTTCATCTGTGACCTTGGCAATTTGTTTTCCAATGTTAATAGCTATTAGTTTTACAAGACAGGAGATACCAAAAATAGCGGGATTTGTCGAGACTTGGGTGTGTGACAAAACAAAAATTGCGCAGGACAAAAATAAAAAGTTGTAAACTCCGGCCGAAAGTTATGGTTATTCATCCCCCTCCTGTCGTTGTCGTGTTCCGGAACTTGGGTTTTACGTGCACATCCGTTTTACCGATCTGACTATTTTGTATGCTACTGTTGGTTTATGCCCTCTCAGAGAGATGCACTCAGACTTCAAAGGAAGCATCCCTAATTATAGTCCGATTCAGATGTCGTGCTCAACTTTAAAAATATGTAACTGAGCAACCATGGTATCTTAACAGATGCAAACAAAGGTACTTGATGCACTCCAATCTGGAAAATTACCTTGTTTACGAACACTACTCTCCAAACTAGGCAACCAGTGTAAAGTAACTAACTATGCTATGGATACCATCCCACTGTGGAGTTCATGGAAATGAAAGAGCTGATAAACTAGCTGAGAAAGGTGCAAATGAAGAACAACCTGACGTACCAGTCTCTTATCAACAGAAGACAAATCAAATCAATCAGAAAGCCACAAAAACCGACACAAGACGATTTCCATTTTATGGACAGACAAGAGCAAGTTATTTTTCTACAGTTTAGAACAGAGCACAGTCGACTTCGCAGCCACATGTACACAAAATTTAAAATATGCGAATCAGCCATGTGGACTAGCACCTGAGACAACAGATTATGTCCTCCAAGACTGTCCCAGATATAGCAACACCTATGGCCAAGAGAAACACCGGTACTCGCCAAACTTAACGGGTCGCTGAATGAATAACTAAAGACAGTGAAATCCATACTAGATACAATACTGCATAATCTATTTCAAGGGGAAAGAAAGAAGAAGAAGAAGAAAATGTTCCGTATAATTTGTCAAAATTTGGCATGCAACCTGGTAATAATCATGTCCTGGTAAGAATTATTGGTTCGGGTAACGAAGTCGAGTCCAGAAAGAGAATGACGTCCCTTGCCATTTATGTCTAGTCGTGTCGCAGGGCCTGTTCTATTTTGTGGGGGTGTCACGCTTAGTAAGCGTCCAGCAACACGGCGTATTTTACGCGTTGTTATATGCTGCAATCAGTTTGAGGTTTTAACAACGGATCAACATTATGACACACGGGTAGTAACCCATAACGGTTCCGTTCTTCTTCAAACTCAAGTCTGAGTCCAAAGATGCTCAGCACAATGCACAGGCTCTATAGCACCGGCGAGGATCCTGAAATACTTTGAGTACATTATAAACTCTAAATTTTGCCCGGGCAGCGCCGTTAGCTACTCTTTTGAATTTTCAACTGCCAAGGGATTTTTAACGTGCGTCACAATGCACACGGGCGTCCGATCTCACTACCCAGAGAGCAGTGAGAATTACTAGAAGTCCAAGTCCACGTGAAAATAAATCCCAGCCTTTACCAGGGATTGAACCTGGAACCTCTGGCACTCGAGGTCGACACCATGCCTCGAGACCACGCTGCCCCAATGCTGCATGCAGTCGTCGGACGTAGGCTGCACTCTCTCGAGGGACGTAGATAAGGCTGTAACGTAGGAGGTTTGGGTTAGAGCCAGTTCTGAATGTTTTGGGACCGTTAACAGCGCTTTCATCGAGACATAAGAACACACGATATAGCCGGTCGCTGACAACAACGCAGGAAATTCGTCGTGTAGCTGGACGCTCACTAAGCGTGACACCCCCGCAACACAGGACCAGGCATGAATTGCAAGGGAAGTCATTCTCTTTCTGGGCCCGACTGCGTTGCAAGCACCGAATTTGTTTTTTATTCTTTATGTAAACAAACATCTAGTTTTCATTTTCAGCGTGCTTGCAGTTAAAAGAGTAACCGGAAGTGTTCAAAACATCAATCCGCACGCCTTTCAGAAGCGTCGTACTTGAAGTGGTTATCTGTAAAAGTATGAGGGCATGACTATTGAAAGGTACTACAGTCACCTTGTATCACATGCTGTTTAGGGACAGAGAGTCTCCCCCCCCCCCCCTTCCCCCAAGTGAGGCGTCGAAACCTACAGGGGAATACCAATAACTTAAAGGGAGGGAAAAGATGTAAATGTGAATGCAGAAGGAGTCAGAATATCCGACAAATACAGTATGAATGCGGGAGTAGTCAGAATAAACGACACATACAATATGAAACAGTACAATGTCACAGGTTTCTGTGAAGAAGGCGGAGACCACACTGTATTTATCGCAGCTCCTAATCGGACATGAGCAGACTGATTACATAAATTCATTTTTTGAGATAACAAGTCACTATACACTCCACAGAGGACAGAACCTGCTACAGACAGTCAAAACTGCCACAGAGATCCAAAAGCTGCCACAGAAAGCCAAAAGCTGCCACAGAGAGCCAAAAGCTGCCACAGAAAGCCAAAAGTTGCCACAGAGAGCCAAAAGCTGCCACAGAGAGCCAAAAGCTGCCACACAAGGCCCACCACTTGACACTTACACGTAGGCCCGCAAATGTTGGGTTTGAAACCTGATCGGCTAAATTATTATTAGTAGTACATTTTACCCCACTTAGTCATCATACAAGCGTTAAACAGCCGATGACACAAAGTGCCACCATTTGGATGAGGATCACCTGTGGAGAGGTCCCAGAAACCACGTTCAGCCTTTATGCCATATTTATGGCCGAGCTATATTGCGGCCCCTGGCAAGAGCCAGAGTAGAGCTTCAAAATAACGAAAAATTGCATCTCACAGGAGGATGACCAGTCGATAATAATCTCATGTTGGAATTAAATCGCAGCTAAATTTAAAAAACAAACTTGACTTGGCTCTAAGGTTCTCCGTCTAAAATGGGTATCAGGAAATGCCTTAGGATGCAAAGGTAGTCTGAGTTATGTTAACCACATGATCCATTAAGTACCGGTGTATAATTTTACTCTTTGCTCGTTGAACCACTTGCCTGAAAAAAGTTCTTTCTTGTTTTAATGTGTACGCTGGATTGATTGTATCTGTATATTTAAAACAAAGTCATGGTGCTTACACATGTAGCACTGGACAAACAGATAAATGACATAACTCTACAGAGGACACATCGCTGATGTCAGCAGCTAGCTCTGGGTGGAGGCCGTCTGAGTGGACGAGGCCGGTGTTACAGAATCACATTTGCTGATCACGACGTCCTTGAGAGCTGAGTTCAGCTTACACTGGGTCAGCAGTCGATCCCTGGCAGAGCTGAGGGGGTTGAAGTTGATAATATCAATATTTTAGTAGCTATCTGGTAGCTCAGTTCAAGAAGAGTCGTCGTGTAATCTCAGTTACGTTTGGTTCTTGAATTCTCAAAGCATTGTCAGGATGTAGTCCTAGAGTAGTCAGAGCGTATTCTTTGTTAAATATGAGTATTGTCAAAGTGTAGACTTGGTAAAGTCAGGTTTGGTTCTTGAACTGTCATAGTAGTGTCAGAGTGTAGTCTTAGTGACAAAAGGTTTGGTTCTTGAACTGTCATAGTAGTGTCAGAGTGTAGTCTCAGTGACAAAAGGTTTGGTTCTTGAACTGTCATAGTAGTGTCAGAGCGTCGCCATCCTAGGTTTATTATAGTACTGTTATAGCGTTGTCACGGTGTAGCACTGTCATTGTGTAGTTGTAGTGTAGTCCAAACATTGTTATAGTATAGTCCTAACAATGTTATAGTGTAGTCCTAACAATGTTATAGTGTAGTCCTAACAATGTTATAGTGCAGTCTTAACAATGTTATAGTGTAGTCCTAACAATGTTATAGTGTAGTCTTAACAATGTTATAGTGTAGTCCTAACAATGTTATAGTGTAGTCCTAACAATGTTATAGTGTAGTCTTAACAATGTTATAGTGTAGTCCTAACAATGTTATAGTGTAGTCTTAACAATGTTATAGTGTAGTCCTAACAATGTTATAGTGTAGTCCTAACAATGTTATAGTGTAGTCTTAACGATGTTATAGTGTAGTCCTAACAATGTTATAGTGTAGTCCTAACAATGTTTTAGTGTAGTCTTAACAATGTTATAGTGTAGTCCTAACAATGTTATGGTGTAGTCGTAACAATGTTATAGTGTAGTCTTAACAATGTTATAGTGTAGTCCTAACAATGTTATAGTGTAGTCCAAACAATGTTATAGTGTAGTCCTAACGATGTTATAGTGTAGTCCTAACAATGTTATAGTGTAGTCTTAACGATGTTATAGTGTAGTCCTAACAATGTTATAGTGTAGTCCTAACAATGTTATAGTGTAGTCTTAACAATGTTATTCTGTAGTCCTAACAATGTTATAGTGTAGTCTTAACAATGTTATAGTGTAGTCTTAACAATGTTATAGTGTAGTCGTAACAATGTTATAGTGTAGTCCAAACAATGTTATAGTGTAGTCCTACCGATGTTATAGTGTAGTCCTAACCATGTTATAGTGTGGTCCTAACCATGTTATAGTGTAGTCCTAACAATGTTATAGTGTAGTCCTAACAATGTTAAAGTGTAGTCTTAACAATGTTATAGTGTAGTCTTAACAGTGTTATAGTGTAGTCCTAACAATGTTATAGTGTAGTCCTAACAATGTTATAGTGTAGTCCTAAAAATGTTATAGTGTAGTGTTGGTGTTGTCATAGTGTAGTCATAGCGTAGTCCTATTGTAATTTCTTAGTTGTCTTGTTTATTGCAGTTTTAACGTTGCCATGCAAGTTATGCTAACACTGTCATATTGTAGCGTAGTTATAACACAAACATCGTCTAGTTCTGGCATCGGACTAGTTTCTTCACTACCTTAACTATAACATTGCCATATCTGATTTAACTGGTCGTCCTAGGCTGTTTATGAGACTGCCGTGTAAGAAAGCCTCCCTCCCCCCCCCCACACCTTTTTTTCCCCTTATCACAATCTACTCTACATATTTTGTATCTGCGCCAACTCATGATCTCCTGTATTCTCATGCTCAGCTGGTCTTTAATGTCCCGTCTCATGATCTCCTGTATTCTCATGCTCAGCTGGTCTTTAATGTCCCGTCTCATGATCTCCTGTATTCTCATGCTCAGCTGGTCTTTAATGTCCCGTCTCATGATCTCCTGTATTCTCATGCTCAGCTGGTCTTTAATGTCCCGTCTCATGATAACCTGTATTCTCATGCTCAGCTGGTCTTTAATGTCCCGTCTCATGATCTCCTGTATCCTCATGCTCAGCTGGTCTTCTTTAATGTCCCGTCTCATGATCTCCTGTATTCTCATGCTCAGCTGGTCTTTAATGTCCCGTGTCCGCTGTCGTCACTGTCAACCTCCCCCTCTTCTCCCCAACCTCATGTCTTGTATATTGTTCGTTCGACAGCCATGTGCCATTTCATGTCATCTACTCCAGTTTCCAAGACGCGGAGTTACTTATGAGCCAGTTCCCTTCTATGTACTTGTGGAATGACATAATTTTTTTTCGTCTTTATTCTTCAGTTTCATTTTATTTTGAACCAGTGTTTTACAAAGTGGGTGCTACCACCCCCTTAAAGGAAAAGAGGGGGTGGGTGGGTGAGAAGCAATAAGACGGCCTAGGTAATGTAAGTGGCCTCGGTCAAGTCTGTGCTCTACAATGTGGTGAAAGAACTAGGATTGCGCGGCAATGAACGGAAACGAACACTCAAAAAACTGGGAGAGGCGGCCGAAAGGGCCTCTAGCTGGCTTTGGACGCAGCGCAACAACGTAGGGGACGGGCCTCGGTGAGCTGGTCCGGGTGTCTAGCGGAAAGGAGTTTCTCATCCCTTTGAAAGTCCATCGTGTACGAATTGTCTGCCAGTGTCCCTCTGCCAACTGCTAAAAAAGTCCAACATGTATCCGGTAAACCAAAGTAAGCTTGTCGCTCGGTCGTCCAGGCAAGCGGACTGTTTTAATTACGCTGTCGCGGCGGCTTCTTATCTCACAGTACCTCCTTCGAAACCACTAAGTCGTCTTGTCTCTGGCCGAAATAATAACACCATCCGGTTTTTCTGTGCAGCGGGGAAGCAGCCCTGAGCTTCATGAACTCAGGTGGGCCCACCTCCGAATACGTTTAGGAATCGTGGGCCGAAACGTGTGTCGACGAGGATAATTTCTACTGATGACTGTAGATCCCCGCTGTACTTGCTCCCTGTGAGTTTATTCTTATTGTGGGTGAGAGTGGAGGAGACACCTTAGCAGTCTTACAAATTGAAGAGACGGGTGGTAGCCTGGGTGTGGGGGTCAAAGTGCTTAAGCACCCAAGCCTCAGGGTCCCTTTATGAACATGTTCTAAGACAAGTTAGCAGTGCACTACTAGACACATACTAAACAGCGGTGCGTGTGTTAAACATGTTCAAATAGATCTTTTCTTGGCACTACTGGACACATACCTGACAGCGGTGCATGTGTTAAACATGTTCAAATAGATCTTTTCTTGACACTACTGGACACATACCTGACAGCGGTGCATGTGTTAAACGTGTTCAAATAGACCTTTTCTTGACACTACTGGACACATACCTGACAGCGGTGCGTGTGTTAAACGTGTTCAAATAGACCTTTTCTTGGCACTACTGGACACATACCTGACAGCGGTGCATGTGTTAAACATGTTCAAATAGATCTTTTCTTTGCACTACTGGACACATACCTGACAGCGGTGCGTGTGTTAAACATGTTCAAATAGACCTTTTCTTGACACTACTGGACACATACCTGACAGCGGTGCATGTGTTAAACATGTTCAAATAGATCTTTTCTTGACACTACTGGACACATACCTGACAGCGGTGCGTGTGTTAAACATGTTCAAAGACACGTTTTTTTTTGACACCACTGGACACATACCTGACAGCGGTGCGTGTGTTAAACGTGTTCAAATAGACCTTTTCTTGGCACTACTGGACACATACCTGACAGCGGTGCATGTGTTAAACATGTTCAAATAGATCTTTTCTTGGCACTACTGGACACATACCTGACAGCGGTGCGTGTGTTAAACATGTTCAAATAGACCTTTTCTTGACACTACTGGACACATACCTGACAGCGGTGCGTGTGTTAAACGTGTTCAAATAGACCTTTTCTTGGCACTACTGGACACATACCTGACAGCGGTGCGTGTGTTAAACATGTTCAAACAGACCTTTTCTTGACACTACTAGAAACATACCTGACAGCGGTGCGTGTGTTAAACATGTTCAAATAGATCTTTTCTTGACACTACTAGAAACATACCTGATAGCGGTGCGTGTGTTAAACATGTTTAAATAGACCTTTTCTTGACACTACTAGAAACATACCTGACAGCAGTGCATGTGTTAAACATGTTCAAATAGACCTTTTCTTAACACTACTAGAAACATACCTGACAGCGGTGCGTGTGTTAAACATGTTCAAATAGACCTTTTCTTGACACTACTAGAAACATACCTGACAGCGGTGCATTTGTTAAACATGTTCAAATAGAAATTTTCTTGGCACTACTAGACACATACTAAACGGCGGTGCATGTGTTAAACGTGTTCAAATAGACTTTTTCTTGACACTACTAGACGCATACCTGACAACGGTGCATTTGTTAAACATGTTCAAATAGACCTTTTCTTGGCACTACTAGACACATACTAAACAGCGGTGCATGCGTTAAACATATTCAAATAGACCTTTTCTTGGCACTACTAGACACATACCTGACAGCGGTGCATTTGTTAAACATATTCAGATAGACCTTTTCTTGACACTACTAGACACATACCTGACAGCGGTGCGTGTGTTAAACATGTTCAAATAGACCTTTTCTTGACACTACTAGACACATACCTGACAGCGGTGCGTGTGTTAAACATATTCAAATAGACCTTTTCTTGACACTACTAGACACATACCTGACAGCGGTGTGTGTGTTAAACATGTTCAAATAGATCTTTTCTTGACACTACTAGACACATACCTGACAGCGGTGCATTTGTTAAACATGTTCAAATAGATCTTTTCTTGACACTACTAGACACATACCTGACAGCGGTGCGTGTGTTAAACATGTTCAAATAGATCTTTTCTTGACACTACTAGACACATACCTGACAGCGGTGCGTGTGTTAAACATGTTCAAATAGACCTTTTCTTGACACTACTAGACACATACTAAACAGCGGTGCGTGTGTTAAACATGTTTAAATAGATCTTTTCTTGACACTACTAGACACATACCTGACAGCGTTGCGTGTGTTAAACATGTTCAAATAGACTTTTTCTTGGCACTACTAGACACATACTAAACAGCGGTGCATGTGTTAAACATGTTCAAAGACACGTTTTTTTTTGACACCACTGGACACATACCTGACAGCGGTGCGTGTGTTAAACATGTTCAAATAGATCTTTTCTTGACACCACTGGACACATACCTGAAAGCGGTGCGTGTGTTAAACATGTTCGAAGACACGTTTTTTTGACACTACTGGACACATAGCTGACAGCGGTGCGTGTGTTAAACATGTTCAAAGACACGTTTTCTGGACACTACTAGACACGTACCTGACAGCGGTGCACATGTCTTTGATTTCGTTTTCTGACAAGGCTTTATTTAAGGCCGTATAGCTCAGCAAGACATCCTTTTTCTCCAGGGACTTTGTCAGACACTCAACTGTGAAGAAATGCACATGATTTCATCAGAACATCAAATGGTTTCTTTGGGTACATCAACAGAGCTTGGCGCATAACGTCATAGCACCCACTATGAAAATGGAGTTGGAGGCAGAAACCGCATCTATCCCGTGACTTGAGTACAGTATAGTACAGTACAGCTCGACATGTTGTTATTGTCACAGACTCATTGATTTCCCCACTCTTTTGACGGAGGTTTAAAATCACCAGCTACTAAACACTTTTCATCATATTCCTCCAAATCTGAAAGGAATTCCCAATGGCTCTCATGCGGAAGTTGATCCACATGCGCGTGTACGTTGAAGATGTACTAGTCCTGGTTGTCAATGGGAACAAATAGTCCTTGAATCTCAAGCACTTCACTGTTATACTTATGTGTATCTAGCCATTGATGTTGGATTCCATGCCTGACATATAGCTAGACCTACAAGGGCATCGTGTTCTATTTCTGACACAGTGTCCTGAAAACAACCACATTCTATTTGTACTAGCTCTCCACCAGTTACCTGTCTTCACTCAATACTAGTCATCACCAGCAACGCTCTCAACCAGCGTGAAAGCCACAGTCAGTGATTGCAGAATGTTTACTTGCATTGTTTGTTAAATACAAAAAATAAAAACTCAAGCTACATAGACCCTTTCAACTTAAGGTAACTGAGCGTCTTTCTAAGTCTTTATCTGAATGGAGTTTAACATCAGTACCCATGCACAGTGTACCATGAATGTTCACTTGCTTCCTTGGTGCATTGTATTTTTGCCCCCTTTATAAACTGTTCTGTCGAGTTTTTCTTTAATAGAGTTCCATTCAGAATCATGGCTCGAAAGCACGCCAGCATAAAGTCAAATCATGAGGAAACTCAGGGTTTCCTGCAGGGTATTTTGGCGTTTAGGTGTCAATGATCCAAGATAAAACTGACTAGACTGTGGCACCGAGAGTTACAGGTGCACAGCAATTAGCCTCAAGGGGAGACAACCGTGATCAGGTGATTACCGCCACACACCCCACCCCTTCCCCCCGGATTATCTTTCTTGAACTGCAGAGCAAGCTATGGGGGAACCATGAAGGACCTGCTACTGATGCGAGTTCATAGAGGCAACAAACCTGATGGTCTGATCTGAGCATACGAAACAAAACGCAAAGAATAAGAAGAAAAAGAACTGCAGGCCAGGGGAGGGTGTTCACACCTGTTGGCTGGAGGTGTAAGCAGACTGACCTGGCCCAGGTGTCACAGCAATTGGCCTGTTGGAGATGGGGAGGAAGCTATGACTTTGTTTATGACCATACAAAGCTATATCCAGCTTGGTGGGCCGTAGGAATGCAGCCAAGAGTAGGCAGAAAAATGTTAGAGCATTCCTCCTGACTGACCCGTGCTTAGTGAATACATTGTATCCCAAGGCGCTGAGCTTTGAAGTCCCTTGAAAGAGAGTTATTTAGGAAATAAACAATCTGTGATACGCGAATGACACAGTGCTACTAGCGGAAAGCGAGCAGGAGTTACAAGAACTAGTTGATCAAGTCAACAGGTGGAGTGCAATGACACAGTGCTACTAGCGGAAAGCGAGCAGGAGTTACAAGAACTAGTTGATCAAGTCAACAGGTGGAGTGCAATGAGACAGTGCTACTAGCGGAAAGCGAGCAGGAGTTACAAGAACTAGTTGATCAAGTCAACAGGTGGAGTGCAATGAGACAGTGCTACTAGCGGAAAGCGAGCAGGAGTTACAAGAACTAGTTGATCAAGTCACCAGGCGGAGTGCAGAGTACGGTTTAGATATTCGAAAAATTAAAGCTATGGTAACTAACACTGGAAACGGGCGGTCAACAGTGAAAATCACAGTCAACGGAGAGCTTTTTAGAACAAGTAAGAGGCTTTCCTATCTAGGACACGTAATAACAGATGATGGAAGAAGCGAAACAGTAATCAAAAAGAGAATAAGAATGGCTAAAACTGTCTTCAGTAAGATGCACAAGTTACTGACAGCTAGAGAGATAAACAACACACTAAACATGAGAATCGTCAAATGTTATGTAAACTCAATCCTGCGATATGGTGCAGAAACTTGGACAATGAACAAGCAACTAGAACATTGAATTGAGTCTCTGGAAATGTGGGGTATACAGAAGAATAGGTCAAATTTCATGGACACAAAAACAGTCCAATACAGAGGTTCTGGAAAGGCTACAAATGAATAGAGAATTACTGAAATATTTTTTTTTTTTTTTTAAAGAGACAATAGAAATAATTTGGCCACATTAAAAGGCATAACACGTTTTTAAAAAAAAAAAACTATACTGCAGGGAAAGGTCGAAGGCAAAAAAGCAAGAGGTGAGCAACGGTACAAGTGGTAGGACAACATCAAAAGATGGGTGGGCAGCAGTTTGAGAAAGTGTACAACCAGGACAAGGGACAGGGCGTGTTGTAGATCCATTACAGCCAGCCTTCACTGTGGAGACGGCACCTGATTGACTGAGAAGGGGAAAGAGGCGGTGCTTAGAAGAGATGATGAAACTGTGGACAGTGGGCTGTTGTGCCTAAATCCTCAGCCTTGAGACAACAATTCGTGGCCTGGTGCTCTGATTTTCAAGGTAATCCAGGAATATTGTCGTCTTTTTTCCGGATAAGAATATTGTCATTTTGCGCAGGTGTGTGTGCTTACTCCTTTAGTGTACTCCTTAGCGGACATGTCTCTACTCAGTAGGGCCATGCCAATGGCTCTGTATCTTAATTGACGTTCTATTGTACGTTTTCAGTGTGCATATTTTTCAGTTATTTAACTTGGATATTGACGTTAACATTGACATTTCATGAGCTTTCATGTATGAAATCACTAGCGTGAAGATGTTAACATTGGTATTTCATGAGCTTTCATGTATGAAATCACCAGCGTGAAGATGTTAACATTGACATTTCATGAGCTTTCATGTATGAAATCACTAGCGTGAAGATGTTTGTGCCAGTCAGTCTCTCCACGCGTGACGCCATGCATGATGATCATTTCCATAGTACTTCCTGGATACAGTTAATACTGTGTTAATCTAATTCACGGGAGTCTAATGCAGGAGACTGACCACCGTAGATTGAAACCCTGACACTGTATACCCGATGTGGTCCCCAGACATTTTGTTATCATTCTGGACAAATTCATTATTTCAGGGATTCATCACAGAACATGTCATAAAAAAAGTTATTGTTTGGGAGTCATAGCGAGGAGACACAGATGTAGTCGACATTCAACCATCATGACAGGACACGAGTACAGGAAGACAGGAATTGTAACAACTACAATGTGAGACAAACCCTACTAGACTAGAGTATGTATATGCGGTAAGGAGATGCAACATTTCTCTATGAATGTGCTTGATATGTGTAGGAAGCATGAACTTACACACAAGAATTGGTTTCTCTCCAGTTTCCAAATAAGCCACGGATCAACCAAGGCCTTCTCATGCTGGAGGACTACGTGGAAGTTCCATTTATCTGTTGTGCAACGTGAGCGAACAGAGTTTTTTTTTTTTGGGGGGGGGGGGGGGTGGGGGGGGGAGTAAAATGAACAGAGGAACTAATTTTTACGCGCTTTCTATTTACATTATCGAAATAGGCTGTTGTGAGTTGTTGAGTGTTAATAACTTTGCCTGCGAAGTGCTCAATGCCTCAAATTAGTGAAAAAAATGGTCATGGATTTTCTAAGGCTGCATGAAAAATATCATTGTGATCTAACAGGCAGTATTGGAGAGAATTGCTTGCATATGTGTTTATGAGTTGTTGGACGAACTATAGTAACTTGGTCAGTAACATTCCCAGCTAGTAACATTCCCAGCCAGTAACATTAGCAGCCGATAACATTCCCAGCCAGTAACATTCCCAGCCAGTAACATTCCCAGCCAGTAACATTCCCAGCCAGTAACATTCCCAGCCAGTAACATTCCCAGCCAGTAACATTCCCAGCCAGTAACATTCCCAGCCAGTAACATTCCCAGCCAGTAACATTCCCAGCCAGTAACATTCGCAGCCATTAACATTTTCAGCCAGTAACATTTCCAGCCAGTAACATTCTCCGCCAGTAACATTCCCAGTCAGTAACTTTCCCAGCCAGTAAGATTCTCTGCCAGTAATATTCCCAACCAGTAACATTTTCTACCAATAACATTCCTAGCCAGTAACATTCGCAGCCATTAACATTCTCTACCAGTCAGTAACATCATCTGCCAGTAACATTCCCAGCCAGTAATATTCTCTGTCAGTAACAGTCTCAACCAGTAACATTAGCAACCAGTAACTCGAACCTGCTGTAACCCTGACTTACGCCTGTCCTTATATCTGCGCAGCACTTCCGTCCAGGTGACCAACTTTGATTGGCGCTCGGTGTTTAGCTTTACCCGGGCTTCCTTCAGCAGACGCTGAGCTCGGCGCAGTTTCTTCATGAACGGTCCGGACGTGGTGGTGTTGGAGCTCCTGTAGTCACCAAGACGATAAACGCGTCAGTTATACACACAAGGATACCAGTAGTCCAGATTATTTCATAGAATAAATACACTGAACTATGTCTAATAAGCTAAACGAGGGAAGAAGGAAGAAAACTCCAATAATCGAACATCATCATCATCATTTTTGACGTGGAAAAATTGCCACTTTCAGCTAGCATCCCCAAAGGGGGAGCTTAAGGTTATAACTGTGACCAGGTTATGTGCACCCTATAAAATGGCTTAACATTGCAAGTCACCAAGTAGCCATGAAAACAGACTCCTGCAGCGTTGATACGATCAGAGGATACAGACTCCTGCAGCGTAGATGCGATCAGAGGATACAGACTCCTGCAGCGTAGATGCGATCAGAGGATACAGACTCCTGCAGCGTAGATGCGATCAGAGGATACAGACTCCTGCAGCGTAGATGCGATCAGAGCATACAGACTCCTGCAGCGTAGATGCGATCAGAGCATACAGACTTAAATGCTGTCTCGACCGGCTACGAAGTCGTCTACCGGCGATCCAATAACCCGATGCAGCATTCTCAATGACAACCTCTATCGACGAGCACTAGAACAAGAAGCGACGAAATGCTGGACAATAGTGCCAACAGGACGGAGTCGCGTGAATAACTAACTGTCCCGGGGGATTTCACACACAAACCACCCACAGCGGACTACAGGCTGCTTCCTAACCGGTTTGTGGTGCTCCAGTATAACTGTGCTATATAACTGTGCTATATAACTGTGCTATATAACTGTGCTATATGGCTTTGCGGTTGGACGGCGTTTGTAGCCACTTGAGTCTCATCCTTCAGATGGTAATTCTGCATAATGCAAATCTGGAGGGGGGAACACTAAAAAACTAGGCTGGAATGTACATGAGGTTGCGGAATTAAACATTGATAAAGTAATCAAAGCTTTAGTAATAATTTTAAAAAAAAATTAAAAAAAAATAATTCAATCTATTAATTGTTACTTATTGCTAGTATGGACATCTTGGCAATCCGAGTTCGACCAGTTCGTGTTCCGTGTAAGTATGGAACTCATGGCAATTGTTGTTTGACCAGTTCGTGTTCCGTGTAAGTATAGAACTCTTGGCAATCGGTATTTGACCAGTTCGTGTTCCGTGTAAGTATGGAACTCTTGGCAATCGGTATTTGACCAGTTCGTGTTCCGATTTCCGATGCAGCAGCCATCTCAATGCCACCATGCTCACCATGTCTCTGGTAAGCGTTGATTTGCGTTTCTGATTTCTCTGCCCCACGACTAGTTTCTAAGTGCTTGTCCTCGTTTAACACCCATTTCCAACAGGCGTTTCATTGTCTCTGACTCCTTTGTCTCAGCGTTTTTGGGACGCAATACATTCAGAATAACTTCCCTGTCCATACTTCTTTCTCCACCAACCACTGCAGTCACGGCAAGTCAGTCGGCTCTTTCCTTCCCTTTCACCCCAGTGTTTCCTGGTGTGTACAGCTGACCACGGGTCGATCCTTGAACCAGACAGGTCAGAACAAAACATAATACTGCCTCTTTTGGGAAACTGAATCAGGATCACCGTCTTGGCAGACTGGTGAGCACCCATATTTTTACATACCAATCGGCACTCGGTGGGTAATGTGGTCAGCATTACGTCGGCCGTCTTTACTTTCCCAGGACAGCCCATCCTGGTACCCATTTGAGGCTGTGGTGTAGTGAACTTACTCCTAAACCGTCTTGGCAGGCTAGTGTAGTGAACTTACTCCTAAACCGTCTTGATTCAGCATCACAGCATTCAGGACCATGCCAAATTATCTCCTTCTCAACAGCCTGCGGGAAGACTCCATTCCGATATTATGTGTTGTCATCTGGTTAGTCGGCTATGTGGCTAAGTCGATGCGAACGCTTCGTAATGCCGGGTTTGATCCCAACTGCGGGCCATGCGCCTTGCGTTGGTTTCGACAGTGGTATCAAGAAAGCCGACCGTCCAGAGAGTAATGGCAAACTACTGGACGTAAATTTGCCTAGAAAAACCACACAACAGCCGGGGTTGGTTCTGCAACGTCCTGTAAAGAATACTCAACTAACCATCTGGTTAACTATTTGGCGTGTCTTTCCAGCGAGTCTAGAGTGGTGTCCTGAATCTGCCGACTATCCACACTGCAACATTATCTCCAGGTACGGTTGTTTAATATCTACCATTTTACAAGCTACCTCATACCACAAGGAAGAAATCACTTTGTCTTTTGGAGTTAGCAGTATACCTCCAAGTGGGGCCAACGCCAGGCAGGATGATAGTGGGCGCTGGTACAATATTGGTAAGTCATCGGGTGTAACATACAGGCGACCGTGGAATTATGTTCAGTTTTGGATGGAATTTTCTGTAACTAGTAACTTTGGTGTTGATATGTGATGGAGTTATTGATATATGGTAAAATAATTCGTAGCAATATTATAACGAGCAGTTACATATTAGTATAATATATTTCATATATTACTTCATAAAGAAGGAAATAAAATTTAAGTATAAAATCAGATTTGAAAAAGAAGAAGAAAAAAGGTGCTTGCGTGTTTAAACTCAGGATTAAATAGATGCAGCTTTCATCAGCTTTATTGTATACAAGAAATTCTAGAAGCGTTGCACCTGAGTCCCAGAGATGAGACTAGCACCGAAGAGAATCTCTAAGTTCGTTACCTACAGGAAATGTATCTCATTTTTTTAGCATCCGTCAGAATGAGGCTGATATTGTCTTTCCATTCCAAAGCACCAACCCTATGGGATTGTGATGCGGAGATCTCCTTACCCCTATCCAAACTCTTAATCAAGCGGATTGTGTTAGACCAGTACTGGAACATTTGCGGAGAAGTATATTAGCACGTAACCGTGTTATTATTCGACGCATAGATCTGTGTTTACCTGCCGCACTTACTTTACAAGTTTGTATGTGTTCTGACAGGCCACAGAGGCGTCCGCCAGCTGGGGGCAAGAGGTCATCGTCCCCACATTTACAGTTACTGGCCTGGGGACGTCATCGGTTTGTGTGGCCGCATCCTTCCTATAGATGAACGATGCGTGATCAGGGTCGCCGGCGCCTGGCAGGTCTGGAACATAAACAGATAATTCTGTGTGTGTATTAGAAACTCACAAACAAGAATGTACAGACATATTTATAAAAGAGCTTTCAGTCAATATCAGTAACACTGGTGAATTAGCACTATGCAGTGACTGAGAAGCACCTTTCTGTCTTTCCAGACGATATTGCTATAGTGCGCTATGAGGAGCATGAAACCCACAGTCCATGGTGATGGCGAGTGTGACTTCAAGACTCGCCACGTTAAGAAAAGTGAGATTTCTGAACTGTTGTTGTCAGCATTTCTGCTTATTCTGTTTCTTGTCAAACGATCAGCTCTCATCGTTTCTGCAATAATTTCTTCCTTCAGTCTCATTCCCTTCCTGATGCACCCTTTCCACACAACACTGTCCATGGAATTTCGTTCCCACGAGTCCACCTCAGTACCAGTATCATTCATGCCCCGCTTGCACACGTCTTAATATCGTAGTAGAGGTTGCCCTCGACATCTTCTACCCGTCTTTAATTCACCTTAAAGGATGTCCATAGAGATTCTGCCATCCTCCATTCACCGGGTGGGACACAA